TGTCTCGATTCTAAACTATTCCTAGTTTTCTTGCACACAAATGTTGGAAGGATCTTCCTAAATTATAAATTTGGTCACCATGTGCTTAAGATTGTTTAATGGATTGCTATTTCCTCTAGTATGAATTCTAAATTCATTATCTTAGCATAGGAGGCCTTCCATTATTCAAAGCCAATTGTCCTTTCGCTTCCTATTTAAGACTGTGTCTTGATCCATCCCTTTAAAAAAATCACCCTGCACTCCAACCTATAGACCCACTTTCACTTGTTTTCGGGGCCCTTTGATACTTCACAATCCTTGTTTCTTGGTGTGCAGAGCTGGTGCTTTCTCTGTCTGGAATGCTGCCTTTTAAAAAAAATTGTATCCTTGGAGAATATCACTTACCTTAGAAAATTCTAGCTAAGCTTCCTCCATAAAGCTTTTCCTCAGTCTCATATGTGGAATTTGTGATTCTTCTTCTCACAAAGTGTTTGGACATACTTATTCTTCCTCCTATCAGATTCTACTGACAGAATTAAACAATCCCTTTTGGGAATATTCTCCTGTTATAGTGCTTAGGAGATGTCATTTCTCCCACTATTAGAGAAGTTTCTTACTAGTGAGGATTGTAGCTGCCTCATTTTTGTATCTCTAAGTCTTTATTTAATGCCTAAAAATAATCATTTTAATAAATTTGAAATACATTTTTCTTCAAATATCCTAGCATTTCATGTGCTCAAAATTATTTTTTTCTATTAAACTTGTATTTTCAATGTCTTTCAAGTTTGCAGGACTTATTTTAATTTAAGTTTATAATAAGAAAAAAGGTAGCCATTCTCTAATATTTCAAGGTAGATGAATCATGGCATTCCTAAATAAATACTTAATTGAGGAGAAAAATATGGGCCAATATAATCAAAATTTGATTACAAGTCTATTTTATTGGTCATGAAAGTAACTTAGAATAGTACTTTCTAATCTTACTATGTGTCAAATCACTGGGGACGCTTTTGAAAAACTATATATATACTTGAGTCCCATTCAAAATCTCTTTTGTGGAGCTAGGAAATTTGTATTAAAATAAATCATTCAAAAATACTCTCCAGTAATTCTAATCTAGTACAACATTAGAAAATCATTAATTTAATTTACGAGATCTAAGGTACTTTTGATGCATACTCAAGACCAGAAACCGCATCTTCCAAACATAAATTACAAATAATTTCACAATAATTAAAATTTCAAATTTTATTATTTTTAACATTCCTTTATCAGGCATATAGCTAAAAAAATGCAAAGACAAAATTTGAAACTAAGAGTTACTCTTCCCCAATTCTATCATTTTTCTTCTTGATCTTCCCTGCCCCCTCAAAAAAATGTTATGCTACTAAAAGGTATCGTAAGTAGCATGGTACTATCATATCAGAAAATATTTCTAAAAATATGTTAATGAAAATTAAAAAGTGAAATTATTAAAAATGCATAATCTTATTGCTTGACAAGCAAGCTTTAATTTTGTCATGTTACAGCAGCATGACAGTTGTTTAGTTTCATGATTCACGGAAAGTTTTTAGAAAAATGAGAGCAGAAGTACTCTTATAGTTTAAAAAATCTGGAATTAGGCTAATTAAACCATTTCAGCATGTTAATAAAACAATAAACCCCTTTGGCGTTCTTCTCATTTGAAAATCCACGTGGCATGCATAGAGCATCACACAACCAAAAACCAACCAACTAACCAACCAACCAAACAAACAAACAAACAAAAGACCTAACTACATTTGGCTGACATTCCATGCTAGACCTGGACTTTTTCCCATTGTTGATCCACTTCCACCTCTCGAGTCCAGAGTGTACATTCCTATGCTTCTTTCATGGGCCTGATCACTGAAGTTCTCAAATACACTTGACTTTCCTTAATACCGTGTTACCACTGGTAACAGATTATAATGCAAATAGGTTATTATGGAAGAGGGTGGATCAAAGGGTTGGACCACACATCTTCACCAAGAAAAGAAGTAATGTCAAATGACTCACCTAATAATAGGGTTGGTTTTGTTTTAATAAATACATTTGTTTAGTTTGTCCATGGTTTCTAAAAATTCTGAACGGTAGATTGCTGGAAAAAAGCAATCTCTTAGATTCTGCAACTGGCTGTTTGGAATTCAGTTTTACAGTGAAGGCTGAACAGTGGGGGTTCTGACTTAGAGATTCAAAACACTAAAGCCCATGTGAAACTCCCCAAGATGCCCCCTCACAGTAATCGTGCCCTTTTTCTGCTTTTGCTGCACTCCCCACCCCCCATTGTTCTGCAAACATCCCAAACATGGCATTGCTGGGAAGACGATGACAACTCAGCTCAGAATGAATTCTATAATCCTTACCATGGCCTCCTGTGTCCTGAAAACATGTTCTACTGTGAGAACTCCATGACTCATCTCTCACTACCTCACTCTGTTCTGGCTGCCACTCTCTTGAGCTTCCTTGCCCTTCACAAAGTATGTCAGGCCCATGCCTGTCTCAGGCGTTTGTGTTACCATTTCTGTGTCTCGAAGGCACTTAGCTCAGATTTCTGCTTGGCTCCTTTCCTCACTTCATGCAGGTCTCGGCTCAAATGCACCCCCTTAAAGTGGCTTTTCTGACCACTCTGTAAAGTTGTACTGTGCCCACTGACATGCTCTAGCCACTCAGCCTGTTTTCCTTTTCCTCATAGCGCAGTTCACCTCCTGACCAGTTGCATATTTGTTTACCATTTGTCTCTACTCACTGGAATTGAAGTTCCGTGAAAGCAGAGATGACGTCTTCTTTGTTCGGTGTTATTTGCACCTCAAACACTACCTGATGCACTAGAAATTCCTAATAATATTTTAACCCAATTAATATATATGCATAAAAGAATTTCTGCTTACTGAAGGAACTAGGGGGTGGTTTTTTTAAAGTATAGGTTCGGTCACTTTGTATCATATTTGTGTATATGAGTATGTGTTATGTAGAGGCCAGGAAAGTTGTCCCTGACCACACTCATTCTCTCCTGCCTTAAGCACGTGCCCATTCCGCTATGCACTCACACACACACAACTTGTCCTTCAAAGTGATTGCTGCCATACACCACACAGTTGAACATATTTGAGAGTGCCATGCTCTACTAACGGATCTAGTCGAGTGTGTTATGTATTTAAGTCATGAAATAGTTTGACCCTTTGTAGTTTGGGAGCTAGCAAGTCACTGTACATGTACTGATTTTGTAGCTCATGATAGTGATGCCGATCAGCCATAGCATTTGGGCGTTGGATGAGAGAGGTTCTCAAATACCCCAGAAGGGTTTCCAGTCTGACAAAATTTGACAAAATTGCTGTTAAGGAATCACGATACACATGAGGCACTGTTTGGCACAAGCCACAGGGTAGTTAAGTAAAAATAACTTCGAGAGCCGGGCTCGGTGGCTCAGCCTGTAATCCCGCGCCTTTGGGAGGCTGAGGTGAGTGGATTGCCTGAGCCCACGGGTTCGAGACCCGCCTGGGCAGCGAGACCTCATCTCTACAATAAATAAAAAAAATCAGCCAGGCGTGGTAGCGCGTGCCTGTAATTCCGGCTACTTGGAAGGCTGAGGCGGAAGGATCGCCAGAGCCCAGCAGGTGGAGGCTGCGATGGCCGGGAGCGGCCACTGCACTCCAGTCTGGGTGACAGAGTGAGACTCCAACTCAAAAAAATAAAAAATAAAAAATAACTTCGAGTCCCTACGAGGGTACTCAAATCTGCATAGGCACATGGCTGTTCGTGTACTATTTGTGGTATGACCAAGTCCATCCCATTATACTTCTTGAAGATTTGCCATGATTGTCTTCCTTGACCAATGGGACATGGAGAAGAACACAAAAACTAGTAACTTGGGTGTTCATGACTTCAAGGTACTGTTGTCCTAAAATTTGAAAATGGTAGTTTGTGACTATAGCTTTAATGAATTAGTAAGTAACACCTCAGTGTAATATGCCTGTCTCAGCATAACATTTTAAATTTTAGAAAGAGGTGGATTTGAGGCATAGCTAAGATAAATAATCACAATAGGTCTATTGAAAGAACTCTCAGAGAAGGTGAACAACCTTTAACGTGTTCAAATGTGCATCAGACAGGGTTATTGGAATGTATAACCTAAACAATAATTAATCAAATTATGTGGTTATGTAGTCACATTCACATGTACATGTAGTGTTGAATAGCTACAAAAACAAGTTTGTTCTTTAGGATATTTGCATACTGTCTTTTGCTGTAGTTTGGAAAATTTTTTATTAGCCTTCCCCTTAGCCTTCCAGTATAGCAAAAAGGTCCTATAGTTTGACGTTGTCTTGGCCATCAGTTTGCTGAACGATTTTTGAGTTTTTTTTTTTTTTTTTTTTGAGTTGGAGTCTCTGTCGCCCAGACTGGAGTGCAGTGGCCGCTCCCGGCCACCGCAGCCTCGACCTGCTGGGCTCCGGCGATCCTTCCGCCTCAACCTTTCAAATAGCCGGAATTACAGGCGCACACTACCACGCCCGGCTGATTTTTTTATTTATTGTAGAGATGAGGTCTCGCTGCCCAGGTGGGTCTCGAACCCGCGGGCTCAGGCAATCCACTCACCTCAGCCTCCCAAAGGCGCGGGATTACAGGCTGAGCCACCGAGCCCGGCAATTTTTGAGTTTTTTTGGGTCTCATTTCTTTGATTTAAAAAATGGAGGTAAAGATAGCTACCAGAAACAACTTGTTACTGCAGATAATACATGTCTCTCTCTCGCGTGCTCTCTCTCTATACACACACACACACACACACACACACACACACACACGTGTATTTCATGTTTGTATTACATCCATTTTCTATATGTATGTATATGTAATGCACTACATACTGTTTTAACAAACATTTCTGCTTAATATAAACTGTAACTACTTTGTGAGATGCATTTCAGGTTTTCGTAAAAATATAAATGCCAGCCTTTTCTAAAACAAAATAATATTATTCACTATTTGTTTTTTCTTTATTACAGGCTTATGAAAAAATTGCTTACCTCCTCACTAATTTAGGTAAGTCTGTTTTTATCCACTGTTTAGTAAAAGAAGAATGCATTGGCATATCTCTCTGTAGTTGTTTTACATATTTTAGCATTTTAAATACCATCAGTATATAATTATTTATTAATGAAAATAAGAGAGGTGGTTTAGGATGTTGGTCTGCATTGACTAACAACAGAGAGGCATTGTTATCAGAACTCTATTGCCATTTAGATCACCAGTCCTTTGCATGCAACCTGTTTTGATTTTTTAAAAAATTTACACTGTAGAATAAATTGGGGTCTTGCCTCATTTTTAGATTTCACCATGATGTACTTTGTTAAGATTCTTTTATCATTTATTATGCTTAGTGTGTTCCATCAATGTATGCATCCATTGTGTCTTCTAGGAAGCAGACTCTGAGGTAGAGTTAGTAACGCAAGAGGTTTTTGAGGGGGAAATCTCCTGAGAAAGGTAGAAGTGGAAAGAAGCAGGACTGGGAAGGTAGAGTGTCAGACAATCATGCCTATCTGGTGGGGTTAGCCAACCCAACTGGGAGCTCTAGGGCAAAGATTTCAAACAAAGATTTAGAGGAATCCAACTTTGGGTATAATTGGTCAAGTCCTAGGACTCCTGTTATACTGAGTCACTGGTTGGTTACTGCCTGGCGAGAGTGAGGCATTAGTCTGATAACTGAGGTGTATGCTGAGGATAGAACAGCTGGAGACAGTCAGCTAAATGTACTCCTTGAAGCTAAACAGCACATTTTTAGATATAAAGATATATATGTTGCAAATGGAATGTCATTAAGGAGTTTCATTGTCTTCTTCCAAAAAAAAAAAGCCAAACAAACAGAAACTTGGAAATATCTTGTGCTTAGTTTGGGGGACAAAATTTTTACTACACAGCTCTTTGAACAATATTTTACTATATGAGAACTCACCAGAACCCAGGCACTGTGCTAAACATTTCCTATTCATTATTTTGTTTTATTATCATTGCAATTCTTTGACAGTAGGGTTCCTATTATATGGATAAGGGAACCAAGGTAATTAAGTAAGTAAAATTTAAAGTCAGGTATGACTGTCTCTATTTAACTATAATGGAGTGACTGTGTGACTCCACTATGATATATTACTTCCCATATAATATATTCACAACTATAAGTCATAATTGAAGGAGCATATGTAGAGGAAAGAATTAGACCCCAGTCAATGCTCTGGAGATAAGTGATATTATCACTTGGAGAAACATTGCTGTAAAAGGAAAAGACAGCGGGCTTAGGAGTTGGACACAGCAATAAAAATTTAAATTGCCCCATCATGATTATGTCACTATCAGCAAACTTTCTCCTCTCCCTAGTCTATTTTCTTCTCCTTCCCGCCTTCTCTTCCTCCCATCGCCTTCTTCCCTCTCTGCCCTTCTCCTTTTTTATTTTTTGAGTCTCAGTTTTCTCACTGGTGAAAGGAAAATGATAAGAGTTCCTATTTCACCATTGTTGTAGATTGGCTGCCTGACACATGGCAAGGGTTCAGTTAATGGCATAGGTCTGCCTCATTGTTCTTTAAACCCTCTAAGTGGAATTTTCTTCAGCTGGATAATGAAGCAGTTGTACTAGAGGGCCTCAAAGTTTTTTTCTAGCTCTGATTCCTTATGTTCATTTATTTTGAAAGTCCTTTATAGCCAGGACTGAAGCAAATCTAAGGAGAACGATTGAGGGAATTGTAATAAATAGTAGAAATAATAACCATTATTTGTGTTTAGTACCAGAAATCTCAAGGTTTTCATTTAATATTTTATTTTTTCATCTATAATCTCGTGATAATGCAGTGTCTGTGGATTCATATTTACTAATTAATAACCAAAGTACTATATGAACTTAAATTAATAAAATATCGATATTTTATTGAAAATAATATATATTTAAATTAATATAATGAAATAATGTATTTATTTTTAAAATATAGTAATTTAAAACAATATAATTTAAATTTAAAATACTATAATATAAAATAATAATAATATATTATTTAAATAGTATAATTGTATGTGTACATGACAGTAGATTCTGTTTATATTTTGGCTGTTCTAATTTTACTTCAAAGAAATTAGGTTTCATTTGCCAGAAGAAGTCCTATACTGTTTTATTTAAATAATTTTTAAGCTTTATGCTTCTTGATTTTTTATCAAAAATTTTATTTTCAAGCTGGGCTTGGTGGCTCAGCCTGTAATCCCACACTTTGGGAGGCTGAGGTGAGTGGATTGTCTGAGCCCGCAGGTTCGAGACCCGCCTGGGCAAATTGGCGAGGCTCATCTCTACAATAAATCAAAAAATCAGCCGGGCATGGTAGTGCATGCCTGTAATTCCGGCTACTCGGAAGGCTGAGGCGGAAGGATTGCCAGAGCCCAGCAAGTCGAGGCTGCGGTAGCCATGAGCGGCCACTGCACTTCAGTCTAGGCGACAGAGTGAGACTCCAACTCAAAAAAAAAGAGTCATAGAACTATAAGACATGAGAGCTGACAGGATTCTTAGAAATCACCTTGTTTAAATTCCTCATTCTATAGATGAAAACTGATTGCAAAAAAATGTGAAGAGACCTGCCTGAGATGGCCTGCCAGTTAGGTTTAAGGGTGAGACAGACTCAGCTGTTCTTTACAATTCCACTTTCATCTGCACACAAAAATGTTCATTCTTCAAAGAACTCTGTGCTTAATTTAGGCCCCTATGTTGAGCATAACTGGTTGGGTGAAGGATTGATCCAACATCTATGGTTATCTCTACAGGGCAATAGCACAGAGACTCCTGAAAATCTCTGTAAATTAATAACAAGGATCATGATTTTGTAGCTGTGTGGAAAGTCTAAAGATCATCTTATTAAATTCTTTAATCAACTCTGTACCATAGATTTTGTCAATCGCATCATATAGACACAGACACAAGAACTCAGGCAGAAACACTAAGTGTCTCATAGTACTGGTAAAACTTGGACAAGCGGGCTTCTGATTCCATGTCCAGCACTCTTGTAATTCACTGCATCTGTCTGAATATAGCCTATGTTCTGTCTAGAATATCCTCGAACGGAATCTGAATGGGAAAACAGCTTTGCCCTGAAGATGTTTCTCTTCCAGTTTGTCAATTTAAACAGTTCCATCTTTTACATCGCTTTCTTTTTGGGAAGGTAAGTTAACTGTATACACATTAGTTTTGCAGATAAAAAATATTGTCAATGGTTCCATTGCCAGTTAGTTAACAGAGGTGGCAGATTCCTGTCCCCTCTCTTGGAAGACTGTGCTCGTCAGTCTTCACATGTGTTCTCACTCACATGACTTTTGGCACCACTTCCAATTAAAGTTGGCACAAAAAAATAAACGTATGTGCCATACTTGAGTCGAATTATTCATCAGTGCTGGTTTTGTTAAAGAAGTAATTAATTTTTGTGTAACCCTGATTTACAAATCTTTAGTTTGGAATTGCATAACAATGAGTTACAGTTCCTTAGTTTGAAAACCTCTTCTGCCCATCATTTTAATGTTTTTATTCCATCTTTGCCGCAAAATATTTTTAAAAAGAAGCACATTAAACTAATGACTCTGCCTTGCCATTTGCCTGACACTCTATCCAGTGACATGGAAACATATTGAGCCAAACAATTCAGCACATTATTGCCATGTTCATTCATTAGGTCAACAAGACATTAAAACTCTACACGTGAGAGTGGAAAATGTTTATCCAGTCCGTTTGTCAGTACTTTCTTGATACGTTAATGTTGAATTCGGGTATTACTTTTTTCCTTTTTAAGTCAGGAACTCCGATGCTATTTAAGCATAGGAAAACTGAACAGCCTGGGGACAAATTGCACCAGTGAATATTTATGTCTACCCACAGATGCACTCTTGTGATGCGTTAGTAGATGTTCTTTAGTCTTCCCCATTTAAATGCTAATGAAACATAATGCCTTTTTACAGATTTGTAGGCCACCCAGGAAAATACAATAAACTTTTTGACCGATGGAGGCTGGAGGAAGTAAGTAACTTTGGGAGGGTGGGTGAGGAGGATTTCCATGAACATGAACCAGTGGGAGGAAGGGGCTGCGGAAAGAAGGCCAAGTTCAGGAAAGTTCATGCGTGTGGAAGATTTGTTGTTGGTAGTGAAGAATCCTTTTGGGCTCAGAAAGAGAGCAAATGCATCTTTTATAAAAGGGGGTGAAATGAAAGGTTTAAACCCAAGATTCTTACCTTAGCTTTTTTGTCTATCATACCCATTGCTCTCCTTCTCAAAACCCAGGAATTTAGCTCCAGTAATTTTCCTCCTTTGGGAAATTATTATTATCTGTTGAGCGGACTTTCAAACTTTTAAATATGTCAGGTTTCCCTTTAAGAAGAAGAACTTTAGTCCAAAATAAATCTTACTTTAAACACCAGCATAAAATGTACGGTTATAACACAATGAGCACAACCCCTGGATGGTGGCTGGCAGGCTAGAAATTGTTGCTAATATTTGTCAATACTCTGGCCACATCAACCTAAGTATTATTCTATTGACCAAAGACAGACTAAGGTCTTTCATAATCCTGGGGCTACCAGGCAGTCCCCAAATCCAACTTCAGTTTTCTTTCATGGCCCAGAGTTCTGACTATATCTACTAAAAGGCTGATTACCTACCCAGTTTGGTACCCAAGGCTTGATTTGTTCCAAGAGGCTGCAGGTGGAGTTAGCAAGGGTAGAGTGGGAACAGAGTAGTTATAGCCAGGAAGATCTGCAAATTGATGCCATTTTAGGGACTGTTGCCACCAATAATTTTGTTTAATTATATGTTCATATTCGTGATTAAGAAATTATTGAAAGTCATAATTCATCTTGGAAAGTCCCAGAAAAACAAATATAATATTGGGAATGTTTCCTAACCATTCTAAACGTATTCCATAATATGTATGAGATATGTGGTGGCCATGTTTTCCAACAAAAGAGTATTTTTTTTTAAAAGCAGTGAAATGAACAATGTGGATTTGTGATATACCCTAGAAATCTTAAAAGTATAGATACAAGAAGTAGACATGATGGAAGATAATAATGTGACTCTCTTATACAAGAAAAATGTATTGACAGGTACTCTATGCCAGTCTCTGCTTGGCAATATAAAATGTGCAAATAAAGCCCTTTTCATCCTTGGACAACGTTAACAGTCTTGAAGAATAGAGCATAACCATAAAACATAACAAGTATCTTGAATTTGAAGTCTGACAATCTGCATTCTAATTCCATTTAGATACATGATCTAATATCTATAAATCTCAGTTTTTGTTTTGCAAACTGGTGATAAGAATAGAATTATCAAAAATAATGGTGACTCATGAGTTAAATTACATTGTTCATGTAAAATAACATACAATAATGGTAGCCATCATTGAAAAATTTTTAAGTACTACCATTTATTTTAGAACACGTATGAATTGGCTATCCTGGACTTGTGAATTTCATACTATATCTATATAACATCTCACATTGACATTTCATGTAAATTCAACATGAAAAAGTTTTTAGTAATAGTTAACACTTATTGAGTGCTTATTACTTGTGTACGCACTCCAGCAATTGTTTCTAAGTGTTGTATGTATATTAATATATTTAATCCTCAAAAGAATTCTATTATTAAACCCATATAACAGATGAGGAAACAAGGACATAGATGTACATTGCCTACAATTACAGATGTAATTTGCCAAACATTACAGAAATATACCTAATACAGTCATTATTTAAAATTGGCCGTGTAGCTTTGGAGCCTGTGCTCTGAACACTGTGCTTTCCAGTCACTGTTGGGATAGCATGTAGGCAAAACTGAAGACATAAAGAAAATTTCTTCTGTTGAGAGATTGCTGTCTGATTGCCTGGCTCACACTTCTAAGTTGGATTGAGAGTAAACACATTAAAGTAGGCAAAATGAAGGAACATGGATATCAGCATCTGATAGTCCTGTCTGTCAGTTAGCTTCCTCGTCTACAGAGTGGGAATACCAAAACCCACCATGTCAGGTTCTCACAAGGAGTGAATGAGAAAAATATATGAAAGCATCCAGCTTTGGCTTGTCAGTGGTCATATGATTTTGAAAGGTGTAGCTGGAATGAATGCTTAGATCTTCTGCACACTCATTCATTCTCTTTCACACATTCTAAGTATGGGCTTTTTTTTTGCCAACTGAATTGTGAGATATTAAAGTACTGGCTTTAACTCAAGAGTGTCGTATGTGAACAGGGAAGACTCACAAAAACTGTTGGCTCCCTTTCTTTTGCCTGCAAATCATAAAGTCATCAAGGCTCAATTTCAACAAAATTGTAAACGTCTTTCAGCTTCCTATTTTGGCCTACCTTTTGTGGGGAGTGATCCAGTCACTTGGTCCTATGATCATCTTTTTCCAGTCCTACATAATAGTGTGCTTGTGCTAAACCCACACTTCAAGACAACAAACACACTGGCAAATAGAAATCATCCTTAGCGTGATGTGAAATAGCAGTGGTTGAGAGTGTCAGGGACAAGGCTTTCATTCCCACAGCGCCAGTCAACATTTCATGACCTTGAGCAAGTCAATTTGCCTCTGAGTCTCTCTACAAAATTGAAGAACTTTAGCTTGCATCTGTGATCTATGATCAGTCCCTGTAGCTTAGTAACTGTTCTGCCTCAGATGTTCTAATGAACTCATTTGTCAGACATATGTGGCAAAGTTCCGGGGGTCTTAAATTCATCTTAGAAAAAGGAGCATGCTTGGGTAAGAGAATTTAGACCTCTCCACACAATAAGCATGACTGCTAGCAAACCCTTTCTCTGGCTCAGATTAGGGAATCTTACATTACTGGGCTGGAACAGGAAAAGTAGGCTCTTTGGATCTTAATTATGCATTTCCTTTGAAGTCCCACTTGTACCAATTTGATATAAATAGAAACTGGATCAAAGCTATAGAGAAGACTATCATCCTGATGAGCAGGACATGAACCCATTTCTGAAGAGACAGACCCACGCTTTTCCACCCAAATATCTTTGACATAGCAACGTTTTCAAGCAAAATACATTAGCTGCAATTTTTATTAGAAACCCACACCATTTTTGTTGGTGTGGGTTTCGAATAACAACTTATTGAAAATCTAAAAAAGAAGCAGGAGAGCCCAGAGGAGGAAAAACAGAGATCACAATGAAGACTATTTTGAGACATGCATTTATCACTTAGAGACACACTATAACATATATAGATACTTCTTACCTAGGAAGTAGAGTTTGACCTTCTTACCCTCATGGACTGAGCTAGACTTAATGTCTCTTTTTCAGAAAGTAGAAGGGAGAAAGAGAAAAACAAGTAACTTTCTCATGGAAAAACCTGGAAAACACTACATTAACCAAGTGATAAAGGTCAGCATCACCAGTGATGTCATGTGGCTCTCACGTAGCCCTGGAATGACATGAGGAAAATGGCACTTCGCTTTTGTGATTGGTCTCCCCCAAATACATAACCTCAATCCAAACATGAGAAAGACATCAGACAAAATTAGATTGGAGCACATTCCACAGGATAGTCATTCAGCAATCCTCAAAACTGTCCAAGTTATGAAAAACGGAGAAAATTTCAGACCAGAGGAGATGGGAGATGTGAAAAATAAATGCAATGGGGTCTGTTGAGTTGGATCTTGGAGCAGAGAGGGGAAAACTGGTGAATTCCAAGTAGCCTAGGGTTGAGTTAATCACAATGCACTTATGTCGGTTTCTTAGCTCTGTCAAATATACCATGGTAATGGAAAGAGCAATAGCTAGAATTGGATGAGGAATATATGGGAATTCTTTGTACTAGTTTTGCAAATTCTCTATAATCTAAAATTGTGCATTAGAATTATTTTTCTATTACTTGGTTGTTAATGGCTATATGGTACTCTAGCATTCACTAAATGTGGTCATGCCTAACAGAGCTTGGCAGATAGTAAGGGCTCATTAAAGTTGTTTTTGTCTTTATGTTTCTTATTATTCTGATAAATATTCCATTATAGTTACTTTAAAAATTCCCATCATGTGCCCTCATACACTGTACATAGTTTTCCTTGTTTTTATCTTCTTTATACATTCAGATAGTGAGACACAGCTTTAGACTTTGCTGTACAACTTAAAGGTGAGGATGCTTAAGCCCACAGAGAAGAAGAGCTCTCTCATTATCTCTCTTATCTTCTGTTTCAGTGTCATCCTAGTGGCTGTTTGATAGACCTCTGCCTCCAGATGGGTGTTATTATGTTTTTGAAGCAAATATGGAACAACTTCATGGAACTGGGATACCCGTAAGCACGTTATTTTTAAATGTTCCTTATAAAGCGTAACAAAGAAGAGAGATGGCAGCAGTGTGAAGAACGTTTAAGAATTTGGGCTTGGCAGGCAGATCAATGAGGGTTCAGTTTCCACTTTCCTCCTTACTAAATGTGACACGATGTGTAAGTTAAACCTCTCTGACCCTGTTTTCACATCCCTAAGAAGATATCAACAGTATGTGTATCTCAAGAACAGCTTTAAGGATTAAAGGGGGAAATGGATGTAGAGTAACCGTTCAATGCATTGAAGACACTTGTTGCTGTTTTTAAAACATTATTTACAAAAACGGTTCTAGACAATGAAAATTGTTTTCTGGTTTCTTTTGGCTATCAGAAGACCAAGTTTGTTGTTTAACACTTTGAGTCTCCACCCCTCCTAAGAGAATAAAGCAAAGATAAAATTGTAGATGGGAGGTTTTCTGCTTTTTCTTACAACCAAAAAAAGAAAGAAAGATCATTAGAGCAGTACAGAATTGATTGTGGTAATATCAGAACAATAACATTCTATTCTGTGCTTTTAGGTAAGTTTCAACTATCTATGAAATGCTGACAGACGTGCTGAATGCCCACTTTCACATGTATTAAAATATAATTTCCTTTAAAATTCAGCAAAATACAAGGTGTTTTAAAGAACATGGTATTGAATCTTTGGGGTCTAACCAATCAAAGGTTAAAACATGACTATTTTGAGTAATTTTCTGATTGCTGGGGAAGAACTGGTTAGTTGGTTGATAATATTAATAGTTTGGGATTAGACATCAAACTATATACTGATTTTTTTTGTTTTTATTGTAGGCCTACACATTTTATCAGGATGTTTCTGAACACAGACCTGGGGGTTGGACAAGTGATATTAACCTTGAAATCTGTCATAAAGTACTGTGTTAGATTACAGGCAGTTTTAGAGCATGGACGATGTAATTACCCAAACCTCGTTCAAATTTTTTCTCTGTTCCTTGCTAAATTTGCTTAAAATTTATTTGACCTCTCTGAGACATTTTGTTTTCATTTGTAAAATAAGGAATTTATAAAGGTTAAATGAGGTGACCTCAGGGTTTTTAAACCTTCATTATAAATGGCAGAACCTTTTTTGTGAAGAGATTTTATACAGATCCTCAATGCTGAAAACAGATGAAAACAAATCTCTTCTAAATGAAGATAGAATAGAGGATGGTGGATTGAGGACCCCAGTTCATTTGCTGTATTCCTTTCTATACTTGGCTCACCTCTTTGAAACAGAGTTTGGGTAGCACTGTTTGGAGGTACCTGAGGAAATTAAGTGCCAGGTATTTAGCATAGAATCCTAACATGACGTGGGCCCTTCCTAAGTACCATCAAGATGATATGGTAGGCATGGCAGTGTTAACAATATTCTATTGGTTATTGTTACCAGTGGGCTACTGCACAAGCTCTGCACTCTAGACAGCAGCCTGGATCACGTATGTCAAATCCTAAGAACACCATGGCAAGGGATATCCTGTTGGTGTTTCTCAACAGCTAGGCAAAGTCTGGTGAAGAAAATTTAGCAAGAGTGGACCAATCATTAAAGCAACACACTTTTAAATTGCGATTCTCTATCTTCAAGTAAAACTTCAAGCAGAAGAAAAATAAATATAATAGAAAGAAGCAGACCTGACTCAATTCCAGTCTCCAGCCCCTTTCTCATTTTCCTGAGGCTGCAGAGGCAGCCCCCATGGATGAAGCACTGCCTGTTTTGGTCTAACTGTGGTTGGTCTTCCAACTGCCACATAAGGTCAGGTTCATGAGTCAAACTGGGGTTGCGCGCTATTCGTTGAGTCCTGTGAGAATCACCTCATCCAAGAAGTAATTTTCAATGGACTCTTAAATAATTCATCACTCAGATGTCTGTGACATATTTCTGAGTCACATAATTTGAAGATTGTTCCTGGGCTAGTTGCTGCCTTCCCATGTCTGAGAAGTGGACTCATGGTTGTAGATCCATTGCCTGGCAATTACTGTTCACTATAACAGCAGAATATAATCACTAATATTTAAACTCCTCATGTTTAAATACTCAGAGAGGTGAAGAGACTTGCTATATAAAACACAGCTAATAACGTTGCAGGATCAGAACCAACACCTAGGTCTCTTGAAACTCTTTCTAGGGCTTAGTTATTTTATGTAGTACATTATCTTACTCATATTTAGAAAGCACTGTTCAGAAAATCTTAGGTAGTTAGCAGTGAAGGGCTTAGGCCTAATCACAAGAGACAACATGGAAGTGCAAGTATTTATGTAGGTGGGAATGGGAGAAGGAATCGCAGAAATACATGTCTGTCTAGTCATAATCAAGGAGCCTCTTAGTGTATGAGGAATGAATTCCTAGGTGATTATGTAGATGTTTATAGGGCCTAAGAGAGTTCTGGAAGGCTGTGGTCTATTCTCCAGTGCTAAACTTTTTTCAAAAGTAGATTTAAACATTAAGAAAAAATGTTTTAAACTTTTAAAACTTTTTTTAAACTTGAGACCAAATACATCCAGTTCCCGGGAATGCTTAATATAGTCCAAAGGTAGTTGGTGTTCCTTATTTCTTAAAACACTAAAAGTTGTTCGCCCTTCAGTAAGAGCTCAGAGCCTTTGATCTGCTGCATGCTATAGGTTGATCCAGAATTGGTGGTCACGACACAAAATCAAGCGGGGAATACATGATACTTCCATACCTCAGTGGGAAAATGACTGGAATCTGCAACCTATGAACCTTCACGGACTGATGGATGAGTACTTGGAAATGGGTAAGGCCAACTAAAATCTGTGGGACTACACCTTAAGCTCACATGTTTTATCCTCTGAAAGCAATGACATTTGACCAAAATGACAGTTTTGCTCACAGTGGAGCATGTGAGAACATAAAGTCTTTTGAAGAAACAATTTGATGAAACAAAATAAAACAACAAATTTCTATGCTAAGAACTGTACCATCCCACCCAAATAAAACAATAACTATTTTTCACAATAATTCTTTGCACACACCTAATCTGGGTCTTAACTTCTTCAAGAGTCTCATTTATATTAAGAAAATAAGAATTCCCATTCTGACTACTAGAATCACGGGTGTTGCCTTGACATTTGCTTGTCTCTGATCTTCAGTTTTCTCATCTATAAGAAGAGAGGACAAGATTAGGTTTCTTGGGTTCCTTTCAGAACCGAGCATTTCCTTCTTTGCTGTCACTGCCACTGCCTGCAGTCACAGCCTCCTCCTCCTCTTCCTTCTCCTTCATCTTCCTCCTTTTTCCTTTATCTCCTCCTCCTCCTATTCCTCTTCTTCCTTTCTCCTCCTTCTTCTCCTTTCTCTTCTCCTTCTCTTGTTCCTCCTTCTCCTTCTTTTTATTCTTTCCCCTTCCTTTATGCTGCATTATGTAGAGGTAAAAAGCACATCAACTTTCAATCCATTCAGATCTGGGTTTGGATGCAGGTTTTAACGTTTTCTAGCTATCTACCCTTTAGCAAGTTTAATTAACACATATGAGTGAAAATTTTCTGAACTATAAAATGAAATGAGCATATTTACTTTGTGGCAATAGCAAAAGGGTTAAAGACAAACTGTGGAAAGTACTTTATTTAGCACAAAGGAAGCATATAATACAGCGTAGTGGTCACATTATTAATTCTCTGATGCTTTTTTACAGTTTTGCAATTTGGTTTTACCACCATATTTGTTGCGGCGTTTCCTCTGGCTCCCCTTTTGGCTTTGTTAAACAATATCATTGAAATCAGACTAGATGCATACAAATTTGTCACCCAGTGGCGGAGGCCATTGCCAGCTCGAGCAACAGACATAGGTAAGATTCAAAAGTTAAATAGATTTTGCATTCTAATGTCGTTTGAATGTGTCCCTCAAATTTTATATGCAGAAACTTAGCCACCAAGATCATATTAACAGGTTAAACCTTTAAGAGATTATTAAGTCATGAGAGCATAACCTTCATGGATAAGATTAGAACTCTAATAAAAGGGCTTGAGGGAATGGGTTCATTCTCTCACTCTCCTGCCATGTGAGTACGTGGCATTCATCTCCTTTTTACCCTTCCACCTTCTGCTATGTGAGGACAGTGTTTGTCTCCTCTGGAAGATGTAGTCACAAGGCATCTTGAAAGCAGGGAAAGAGGTCATCTCCAGACATTGAATGTGCTGGTGTCTTGATCTTGGACTTTCTAGCCTTCAAATCAGTGAGAAATTTCTGTTCTTTGTGAATTACCCACTCTGAGGTGTTTTGTTATAGCAGCACAAATAGACTAAGATAGCATGACTTGATCTTACATAGCATCATGGCTGCCTTCCAACATAACAAAACTAAATGGTTTTAGTTAACAAAGAATGAAATGAACACTAACTTAGTTGAAAGTAGGTTCATATTAAAAACGCTATTTTATAAACTTGTTTGCAACTAAAAAGAAACTCATATATATTTTACATGTTAATAGACATATCTTTGCTTCTTTCTGTATAATTGCTGCACAATTTTCTATTAAATGTGTATGGTATCTTTTTAAAAATCCATACTCTTACTAGAGACATTCACATTGCTTCTGTACCTTGCTATTATAAACAACAGAGGTGACCGTATTCATGCATGCTTAATTGTTTCCTCAGGATCAAGTTCTAGTGTAGTGTTCTGTTCAAAGAGCATGCACATTAAAATTTCTAATAAACAATTTGGCAACATGTCCTCCAAAAATATTATGCCAATTTACACACCCACAATAAGTGCATAAATATATGTTTTCTCATTTACTCAACAGCTCCAGGTATAATAAGGATTTTTAAATTGTTGTTCTATCTTTGACAATCTGAAAAGGAAAAAAATATACTGTTATATTTACTTTCACTTTTATACCTATGTGATTAGATATATTTATATTTCTTCTATACTAATTGTGTTTATACCTTTTAGACATTATGTCTGATTTGGCAATGTTTTCATATTGGGAGTATCAATCACATATTTATAAAAGTTTTTAATGCTTTGACATTTTAAGAATGTCAAAATGTTTTCAATTTATTCACTTTATGACAAATAAGATATTAAAATTTATATATAATCAAATGAATTACAGTTGTTACCATTTGTGGTATTCTTAGAAAGACCCTTTAGAACTAATAATTTGTCACCTATTGTATTCATTGTTGTTGCTTTAGGGAAGTGCATATTTTTCTATTTTTGTTTATTGTTTGTTGGCATTGTAGAATTTTATTTAAATTGTTGAATCATTTGAAGTTTCTTATTAATGAATTGAGTTCCACCTTTTTTTCTAATGATTAATCAAGTTTTCCAAGCCATTTATTAAATAATTCAACTTCTAAAATAATTCTATCTTTGAGCTTTTTTGAATTATTTGTTGCTTTATGATAAATTCTTCATAAACTTAAGTGTATTTCTAGAATCTATTTTTCCCATTGATCTAACTATTTATCCTGCACACAGCTTTAATAAATTGGAGATTTCTAATAGAATGTCCAATATCAGACTACTTTCTCTGTAGTGTGTGTTGGTAGAAGTGGAATTTTCTGGCTAATACTATGAGGTTACTTTTTTAGTCAATTTTACCCATTTACATATTCCACCATCACCAGAGTCTGTTTAAAATATACTAATCTGTAAAGGTTGGATATTATAGAATTTGAGTTTCTGTTTTTGAGGCAATTGAAATTATTGCTGTCCTTTAACTTTTGGATATTCATTGATTTCAACATTTTAAAATATAAGAACATTAAATGAAATCTAAAATATAAGTCAAAAAACTTCCATTCCAACAGTTAATAATCTTTTCTGCCTTTACATTTCTTTCTGCCACAGGGAATCAGTGCTATCAAGTTAGCATGTACCCTTTGTTAATGTTTTTTTTTTACTCATAGAAACATACAAAAGTATATTTCTACACATATGTAAAACTGTACATTTTTTTAATGAATATCCTCCAACTCAAAACATATTGTCCTAGTTTTTTAAGTACAAAGTAATATTTATAATATGGATATGCAATAAGTTTTATTCTCATTTATTTTCCCCACTACAAGCAGAAATAAATATATAGTTATGAACATATAGACATAGATATATATTATGTATCACATATTAACCTATGTATGTGTTTGTGTACAATGTATCTGTGGTATATACATCCTAATAAGTAGACATATTAGACTAAAATGTATGTATACTTTAATTTTAGAAGGTATATTAATTGCCAAAAATATTGTAATAAGTCATACTTCCAACAACAATGTAAAAGAGTTTGTCCATAATCCCTACATAGGACCAGATTTTATAAAATTTTCAAAGGTAAGTCAACCTATGAGATTTAAGAAAATTGTATTTTTTGAATGGTATTTCCCTGAATACTAGTGGTTGAAACTTTTAACATAGTTATTGATTATTTTAAGTTCCAAAGCAGATTGCTCATTTGTATTCTGTGTCTATTTTTTCTCTTTGTGTATCTTATTAAAAGTCTAAGATCTTTTGTGTATTAGGCATATTAGCACTTTGTCTGTTTTTATAAAGCAAATATTTTCTCCCAGTATATTGTTTTTGATTGAATATTGTCTTTTACAAAAATAAATGTTTAATTTTGATGTACCCAAATACTGTTTTTTATGAATTCTGATTTCTTGTCTATGATCTCCTCCATCAGGTAAACTTTTGCATTCTTTTTAATTTGTATTTTTTTAATTGCAACCCAATGTTGCCACATTCTAAAGATTCTGAAATACCAGAGAAGCAAAGAAAACTGGCATGCTATTTAATCACCTTTCGCATTTTAGAGCATTTTTTCCAGAATGTATATTTTTTCTCGTCAATCTTTTTAAAGCTAGGTTTAGTCCTACTTGAAACATCAGTTTTGACTATAATCAATAGCATATTGATTATATATACTGTATAACTTTAAAGCTTTTTTGTGTGTTTAGGTAAGAAATGGAAAACATCAGTTAGGATTTTATATTTTCAGTTTAAAAAGATATTTGACAAAAAGAAAGGCAAACTCCATAGTCTATGTAGACATTTTAGAGTCCCAGAACCTTATAGAACTTAAAGGTTTTTTTTTTTTTTTTTTAACATATTATTTGTATTGTCTCAGCAAGTTTCTATATAGTAGGCTTTGAAATGTCTTGCACACTGGTGTCATGTCTCACAGTTACCGACATGCGTCAGGTCTGAGTGGCTTTTGAATTTGTAAATATTTCTATATGGAGTTCTTCCTTCTGTGGAAACAGCATATTCAATGGCTGTATTATCTAGAGTGAGATACTAAAGTAAGAAAGTAAATCATGAATAGAGCTGTGGTCCCCACATAAGTAACACATTTCCAAATGAAATTGATTAGAATGCAGTCATATTTATTATTTTTTTTATTCACCATCTTTAAACTTTTTCTTACCAGGTATCTGGCTTGGCATCCTTGAAGGAATTGGTATATTGGCTGTGATCACCAATGCATTTGTAATTGCTATTACTTCTGATTACATCCCACGTTTTGTCTATGAATACAAATATGGCCCTTGTGCAAATCATGTGGAACCAAGTGAAAAGTAAGATTGAAATTTACATGTCATTGACATATTTTATGTTTGTAATTACAATGGGAACATATTGGGAAGTTTTGTTCTATGGTCATTAAGAGTAATGTTTCTGCGCATTGCATTTATAACGTGTTTATTAGATGAAATCAAGCAAGGTAAGAAAGGGCAACAGTGTTTTTACAGCAAGTAATTTTAGAGTCACTGTTTTTACTTGGAAATGCATCACTGGTATCAAAATGTTAAAAATGATAATATATTTGGAAATCAAATTTTAGAACTGGAGGATATCTTAGAAATCATTCAATAGAATCTTCTTACTGTATAAATGGGGAAAATGTAACCTACCCTGGTTAATCAAATTTCTAACAGTTTGTAGGGAGATGCAGAACATGAAGGACTGTCAGCTCTATAACTAGAGATCATCAAAAGGAATTTACAGCTAGAGTTTTTAAGAATGCAGATAATGTTGCCTTAGTCCTCAGGTATCTTCTGTTAAAATTTAAGCTCACTTCAGAGCAGAGTTTCTCAAAACCTCTGCACTACTGACATCTATCTATCCGCATAATGCTATCTTTGGTGGGGGGAGGGGTGCAAGGGGCCCTGTTGTGTAGTAAAGGATGTTTATCAGCATCCTTGGCCTTTACTCAGTAGCTAACAATAGCAATGTCCCTATTTCCCAAGTTGAGACCATCAAAAATATCTCCAGATATTGCCATGTGTCTCTTGGTGGACAAAATCACCCAACTTAGAACTACTTCTTTAGGTGATATGGGATTTTTTTCAGCTCTTTCTTAATAAAAGAAAGTACTGAGGGGAAATGCCAAAAGGCACTGGATTTAGGGGACAGGGAGGAACTGGAAGCATTTTTAAAAAGAGCTGTAGCTGGAAATCAGCCTTAGAGTAATAAGAGAGAGTGGTGATAGAAAAAGCTGCCTTTCTTTCTTCCTTCGGGAACAGCTTTGGATACACGGCTGATCTGGGTGCAGGGCAGGTGCCACCCAGGTTGAGAATTGATTTAAGATGTCAACAGTTAACATCACGAGCTGATGTTTTCCCAGATCACTGAAATGCCTTTCTGAACAGAAGTGACTCAGTCTTCAAGATAGGAAATAAAAGCACGGGTATTACCTCATTTTACATTTTGGAGTCCCTTCAAGGGATTTTTAACTTAAAGTCAGACACCTTAAGTTCCTAATCTGGGTCTAGTTGGTTCATAACAAAAAGTACTTGCTTATAGCCCTCATGATTAAGAAATGGTGCCTGAGATAATAACTTATGAACTTTCAAACACAATGTCAATATAAGGTGGTTTTAGTTTTAATGGTAAAAAAGAAAACATTCTGTTTCATAATTCAAAACAGTCTAGAAGCAGATTTTAAGGGTTTAAAATATGTAGGCTTAGCTGGGCTTGGTGGCTCACACCTGTAATCCCAGCACTTTGGGAGGCGGAGGCGATAGGATTGCCTGAGCCCAGAGGTTCGTGACCAGACTGGCAACATGAGAAGACCTGGTTTCTACAATAAGTCAAAAAATTAGCTGGGCATGGTGGCGTGATCCTGTAGTTCCACCTACTAGGAAGGTCGAGGTGGAAGGATCGCCTGAGACCAGCAGGTCAAGGTTGCAGTGGCCGTTAGCGTGACACTGCACTCCAGCCTAGGTGATAGAGCGAGATTCCTGCCCAAAAAACCAAAACCAAAACAACAATAACAAAAAAACACAGGCTTGTTTGTCCACCCACCTCCTTAGAGGTGGGAATGATTGTCCTTACTGCCATCTAGTGGCCTGTGAACGTGAGATTGGCTGGTACCCTGTTTACATTTTAGGACCTGCTTTTCCTGGAGATAGTGTCCCACCCCTTTCCCATAGTCAGTGCTTAGGAATGTAGACGAATTTCAAGCAAAGATATGGAAGGTTTATGTAACATTAACACCATACTTTCAGAGGGGCACCCTGTTGTTTGATTTCTTTCCAGATATACTTAGCAGCTAAATTGGGATGGATTCATTCAGATTGGATATTTTCAGAGTTAGGTGGCAGAAAGACAAGACGGCAGTGCAGGAGAAGGATATTGGCAAGAAAGTAGTTGAAATGATGAATCATGGGGTCTAGTAGGGGCAAGGAAGGGAGTGAAGCCAGTGTGGCACTCTAGTTAAGATTTCAAGGCTTAGAATGAGATTGATGTGTGCTTGAACCCAGATTCTAACAACTATTTTTTCCTGGGTCAGTGGTTCTCAAATCTCCTTGTGCAGTCCATAAGGTCAATACTATTTTGGTAACAATACAAAGACATTATTTGCCTTTGTCACATATTGACATTTGCCATATGGCACAGTAACAATGGTGGCTAAAATTTCTGGTTGCTTTGTATAACCCAAGACAGTGGCACCAAATTCAGCAATCAGCAATGATCGTATACCTGACCGCTATTTAACCACCACCACAACCAAAAAAAAAAGTCAATGAGAAATTCTCTCTGTCCTCAATGCAGCAGTTATAATTATTAATTCAATAAAATCCCCACCCTTGGATAAATGCCTCTTCAAAAGTCTACTATTGACAGAAAGAGACGTGTGTGTAAACCATTTCTGCTGCATCCCAAGGTATGAAGGGAATCTCAAAGAAAAACACTTGTGCGATTCTTTGAGCTTCAAAATTGAGCAAACTTTCCAACATGAAATAATAATTTCCAGACAAACTATAATTTTAGACTTGGATATTTAGTCAACTATCTTACAGAATGCACAGAACCAGACTGTTATTTTAAAGAAAGTAATTGATAATATTTGTTGCCAATGATAAAGTTCAAGCTTTGAAGAAAAATTAGAATTTTGGATAATTTTTGTCCTCCACTGTGAGCTTGAAAGCGTCCTAGTATTTACAGATTTTTGTTTTCAGTTAAAAAACAAATGGTGATATTAACAATTATGACTTTTCCATAGTCTATAGCAAAAATGTGTCAACATTTGTAAGATCTACAAAGTCCTGGGAACATATTTTCCAAATGACCCATATTTGTTGTTACAAAATCATGTATAGATAAAATATGAATTTAAAGTGTGAGATAGACCTATGAATTTTATGGGACAGCACGACAATTTCATTGATATTGTTTAAGAAATCACATTGTAACTAAACTTTAAGAAAGTATCACATATAGAGGTTTGGTGGAATGTCAATGAAAAATATCCACAGTTGTCTGAAATGCTATTGAAATTCTCTTTTCAATGACTGATACATGTAAGGCCAGATTTTCTACTTACTCTTCAACCAAAACAACATATTGCAACCAATTTAATATAAAACCAGATGTAAGGATCTAGCTGTCAGTCAGGCTTGGCGGCTCAGCCTGTAATCCCCCGCCTTTGGGAGGCTGAGGTGAGTGGATTGCCTGAGCCCGCGGGTTCGAGACCCGCCTGGGTAACGAGACCTCATCTCTACAATAAAAAAAATAAAAAAAAAAAAATCAGCCAGGCATGGTAGCTCATGCCTGTAATTTCGGCTACTTGGAAGGCTGAGGCGGAAGGATCGCCGGAGCCCAGCAGGTCGAGGCTGCGGTGGCCGGGAGCGGCCACTGCACTCCAGTCTGGGCGACAAAGTGAGACTCCAACTCAAAAAAAAAAAAAAGAATCTAGCTGTCTTCTCTGTTAAAACAGACATTAAAGGGATTTGCAAGCAAGCAAAACAATGTCATTTTTCTCACTACATTTTTTTCTTTTGGAAAGTATAGCATTTTAAAAAGATGTAATCTATAGTAAAGAGTTTGGTAGTTTTTAAAAATAATAAGTACAAACTTTCTAAATTTCTCAGTTTTAATTTTTGATGTATTAAAATATCAATAGATGCACCCTGTTAAAAAAAATTTCAGATTTTTAATAATTTTTAAAAACACAAAGGAGTCCTGCCTAAGGTTAAAATTTTTGAGAATTATAAGCTTAGAGCAGTTACTTAGTCTCTCTGACGCTTAATTTCTTAATCTTTATGATGGCGATCATAATATATATGCTTTAAGGTTGTTGTAAAACTTAAAACTGACTCCAAAAATTTATCTACCTAAAACTCTAAACCATTGATCGTAATAACTAATTCTTGTCCTACTCATCTTTTTCAGATTTATACCCAGCTATATAGTATTTGTGGTATTATCCTAAGTAGTATTTCTCTAAATTTTAGTTTCTGTTTATTTGTGGCTGGTATATAGAAATAGTTGTTTTCTATATTGACCCTGTAACTATCTGGTGATTGTGCTAAATTCACTCATTAATTCAATGGTTTGTCGATTATACATAATGTTGCAGTATGTGAATAATGACAGATTTATATATTCTTTATCCCTATGTTAGTTCCAGTTATATATTTTTCTTCTTTATGCATGGACTATGTTGACTAGAAATGATGACAATGGACTGTTTTGTTCCTGACCTCGGGAGGAACAGTCCAACATATTTAGAATTTCACTGTTAAATGATATTAGCCATATATTTTTATGTAGATATTCTTTATCAAGTTTTTTAATTTGTTGAGTGGTGTTTATTGTGAATAGCAGTTGAATTTTTATCAAATATTTGTTTCCTTATTAATGTGATCATATGTTTTCTTATTCCATTAGTGTACAAAATTTTATTGATTGGTTTTTTTAAATTTTTATTTTAAAGATGTGGAGGCCTGTGGAGATTTTAAACTTATCTTTTTGCCCCACACTGCCTCAAAACTTTGGCCACATGTCAGTGGCAGGTCCACCTCTTCCAGCAGGACTTTTCCCTTTCCAGAAGATTTCATTTGCCTTTTGGAAACTTCTAGCTTATCCCTGCTCCCACCCTCAGCTCTCCAGCCTACCCAAGAACTTAGCAAATTCTCATGAGAAAAACATCCAGGCATTTGGGGCTACTCAGGTCTCCAATCTGTCACTTCAATCACATACAGTTGACAAAACTCATTGTTTCTTCTATTCCCCTGTAGAGGCCCTCTATCTTGTGGAGTCTAATGCTCAGTATTCACCCAGATTTGACAAGCAAATGCCTCAAGGAGAAAGAAGAAAATAGTGATTGCCAATTTACCTAGAAAGGAATTTTTCTCTCCCTGGAGCATTCATTCCTCTACTTCGTGTTTACACACCTCTGCAATGTCTTCAAAAACATGGTTTTTATTACTGTAGGAGTGTTGAATAAGTATAGCCCATATGGAAGATTTACTCCATTTTCATTTTCATCACACTTCTCGCCTTTTAACGTTCTATACAATTTACTTATTAATTATTTTTATGGTGTGTCTACCCCCATCCCCTGCTAGAAGGCAAGTTCCAAAGTGTGTGGAATTTTTTCCCTGTTTTCACTGTTGAATACCAAGTATCGAGAATTTTTCTAACAGTCTGTAGATCCTCAATAAATATATATTAAATAAATTAATAAATCAATAATAAATAATGTTTATTAGCTGACTACTTGATTGTAATTAAATAGTATATATGTACGTATGCCTAGAAAACATATATGTATAGAGTTGGAATGCATATAAAGTAATTAACAGACTGTCTAATGCATAGAAACCACTTAACACACATAAACCAGATGAAGGGGCAACGTAGGAACTACTGGGAGAAAATGGCGGAGCAAGAGTTGATCTTATTAATGGACAATTAGAGCTGTCATGAGAGTTAGAAAATGGAATAGAAGAGCTGAGTTGCTGAATTTTTATAGTTAGGATGAAAAGAATAATGTCGTTTATACAATTCTGTCGTTCGTCATGGAGGAATTGGACTAGATATTCGTGAACCTCTGAATCATATGAGATTTTTTCTTTTTCCTCGCAGCTGCTTAAAGGGATACGTCAACAACAGCCTCTCATTCTTTGACCTGAGTGAGCTTGGTATGGGAAAATCGGGCTATTGCAGGTACTTACTTGCAGGTATCCTTCCTGCCTGCTTTCAGCATTCCAACTTCTCCCCTCTGCGTGTTGATGTGCTCGCTTAAACTGCCGTTTTGGCTTTTTGGCAAATCAAGAAGCTTGGGGGCCTTCAAACATTGACATCTATGTGTCGTCCTCTTTGTTTTTGGGGTGTTCAGATACCGAGACTACAGAGGTCCCCCTTGGAGTTCCAGGCCCTACGAGTTCACCTTGCAGTACTGGCATATCCTTGCTGCTCGACTGGCCTTCATCATCGTGTTTGAGGTGAGTCACAAGCTGAGAAGGGGATGGCTGTAGCTAGATGCTTTTCCACGTGGCCTCTCAGTTGCCTCTTTGAAGTTAGCTCTTCACTGACTTCCCGCAAAGGACTTCAGTAGGTCCCAGTAAAGGGCTCAGGTACAAGGCAACCTTTCTCACAAGTGCAGAAAAGCAAGAACTGAATCACATAAGAATGGGTGTTAGTGGATATTTATACCAGAAAATCGGAGGGGGGAAACAACGCTGCCGCGCTGCCCAGTTTATCTGAAAACTCTTGAGACTTCTAATTGTGAGCCTTTCTTTAGTCAAGTTTAAGAAGGAAAGGATGGTTTTCATTATCTGGTAAAAGAACCCATATGTAGTCATCAGGATGGAAAAAGTGAGTCTCTGAGCAATCAACTTTAATTACAGTTGTGTGTGTGTGTGTGTGTGTGTGTGTGTGTGTGTGTGTGTAATCCAATGTCCAAAGGACATTGAATGATTTAATAAATTATGCCTGATAAAATTTTGATTGGAAAAGTGCATAGACTGGCAGTCTTTCCATCATCAGTCTTCCTTTTTCCCCCTCTCTCCTTCTTTCCAATAAACTCTGTTTTAAAACTTCAAAAAAAGTGCATAGACTTTGTACAAAATAGGTTATTTTTGATCCCTAAACCCCCTCTACACATCTCCCTCTATGGTTGTCCCCAGTGTCTATTATCTTCATTTTTGTGACCATTTTGCTCCCACCTTGAGTGAGAACTTGTCTTGAAAATTGTCTCAGAAACAGAAAACCAATCATCATCTATACTTCTAACTACAGGCATGTTGTCATTTGAGTTTTATTTCTATTTTTGATACAATACTTTTATCAGTTTATTTTAAAATATAATTAATATGTTTTTATTATGGAAGAATTATGTTATAGAGGTAAAGTATTTAAAGCAGTAATAATTATATGTGAATTTAATAGGGTAGAAATTATGAAAAACGCATGTGCTAAAATTTGGATCTAATCCCAGCATGACAGGAAGACTATATCCTGTGTGGTTTGTGCACATGCATCATGAATTTTCCCTGGTTATGATCTTTCTCTCTGTGTGTAACAGTTCATATCATAATACTGCATAATATGTAAGGATTTTACCAATATCAAGTTAAGATTCTCATTCAGTGATTATAAAGTGATAGCAGCATGTGGCAGCAAAAGAATGAAACAATTCTTTGTTTTCTCCTAATAATTATGTTATAGAAGGCAACAGTTGTAGTCTCAATATTGAAAATATGAGTATTCTAGATAATACATACTAAAGTATGATGCTTGATTTTTAAGACAAATACAACATATTTGTGATGATACTGTTTTATAATTAGCATTTCAGAATTTTTGAAAATTGTATTTTTCACTCTGAAATTTGCAGCACCTTGTTTTTGGGATTAAGTCATTCATCGCATACCTGATTCCAGATGTACCAAAGGGCCTACATGAACGAATACGACGGGAGAAATACTTAGTCCAAGAAATGATGTATGAGGCTGAACTAGAACATTTGCAACAACAACGGAGAAAAAGTGGCCAACCGGTTCACCACGAATGGCCTTAGTTGATAACTGTGACCCAGTAGGGGTGGTCCCATTAGTAGGAAGAAATGATGGCAACTTTGGATTCTAGGTGGGACCTAGGAGGAAGGCATGCTTGGCAAACCATGTGTACAATACGCTACTTGGAAATGTTTCGCAATCATCTCTGGAATTTGGAATATCCAGGATGCTAGGGAAGAAAAAATGACTCATGACTTAGAGAGATTGACATTGCAGGAAAGCAAGATCTGATGCTCAGCACCAGTCTCAGGAAGTTGTGTGCTTGTATACTTCTGCCTTCCATCAGTGACAGGGTCATAGGAACGGTGGTGGTGAGGGTGTTAGAGACTGATTCCCGTGTAATTGTTCACAAGACAGGCACGACTTAAAGTCTCACATGATCTTCACTTGTATACTAATCTGGCTTTGAAACTTTTGGTTGAGTTGAGATGCTCAAAGAATTGGCTTAAATCAGTGATTGCCTTTGCTGCCTGAACTCCATGTTCCTTCAGTTTACAGCTTGGTAGGAACCTCTCCTGTCCTCTTGCTGGGAGTGTGGATCTGGGCCACAGGGGATTTATGCTGCTTCACATCGACTATGCAGTTGAAGAGTTGCACATCACAGTTAGTAGTCAAACCAAAAATCTAAGATTCCAAAAAGAATGCCATTTGTTGAAATAATATTCTATTGCATCGGCTACTTCAAGTCTGCTGAATCACTGGTGGAGCCAGTTGCACTGCAATTCTTTTTTCTACTAAATGTCAGTAGAGCCACCTACTTATAAAATATGAATGGTTATTCTTACTCATCTAGAACTCAACTAATCCATACCTTACTGTGGAAGGCTGTTTTATAGTATATTTCATTTTTCCCTCTCTGAGTTACTACAACTCCCACAGGATATTAACTTGAATTGTTGTAAATATGTTGGTTTTCCTTGTACTTTTGCACCTTGACAGTACGTAGCACAAGTTCTAGTTTCTGCAGCTCTGACACCAGTTACCCAGTATGCTATCGTCATAGGTTTATTCAGGAAAACTGAAGCCAAATGCTGTGCAACACGTATGCTTTTTTCCAACAATGTGCGCTCTTACTCATGAACTAATGAAAACAATGCATGAATGTAAATCAATATTATTTGTAAAAGAAAAATGCCACTATTTTGTGTTTTCCTTTTTTTTCATCACTGAAGGGAGTTTTCTGTCATTATTTTTCATAGATTGATGTGATTTACTTTTGAAAACTCTCTATTAACAAAATCAAATTCATTGTAAAAGACACAATTTTGTTTTGTTGTGGAATTTCCTATTTCAGTGTCAACTTTTGGTCTATGAGTATGACTGTTCCATAGACTGATGAGGCAGGGATAATGGGGCACTCGATGAAGGAAAGTCCAGAGGAGGCATAAGCTGTGGGGGTGGGATGGGAAGAAAGAGAAGAGTTAAAGTAGGGAAATGTACGGTAGAAATCAAGGCATCTTTCCTTGCAAAACAAGGAAATCACATATACGCACCCATTCATACATACATAGGATGATGGTAAGGATTGTTATTTGTCCTATTAATTTTTTGTCCAATTAAGTAAAGCACAGTTATTTCCAAAATATAAAGGACCTGATCAAACACAATAAAAATAAAGCTCCTATGTATAGATGCTAGTGTTTCTTTAGTAAGAAAATTATAAAGTCTCTCTTACCAGAAAAATATTTTTCAAGTCTATCACCGAAAATGTTTTATTGATTTTTTCCTTCTCTCCCTCCAGGCAAAAGTGTATTGATTATAGTTGTTTCATTGTTTGTTTTTGTCAAGAATATTCACTTCCCTACTTGTCTTCTGGTTCTGAGCTAGGAGAAGAGCCTCAGACTCTGAACTTACCTCACATGCCCTCCCTGGTCATGTGACTCTTCCATTCATTTTTGCCCCTGCTTGTTTACAGCAACTAATTCCACTAACAAAACACAGGAGTTTTAAATTCCTCCATCTTTGTAACATCTGCATTTTCTTTTCTTTGTTGGATAAATGTATACACATACCTGAGTATAACTCTTCTTCATGCCTAGTAATGACATAAACAAACGTTTTTTCCAAACCGGGGACATAAGGCACAGACATTTGTTTAACGGTAGTGCAAAGAGTCATGATGACTGTGTCCTTGGGAATTATTCCCTTTCCACATTTTTATATAGCCCCATTAGAGTTTAAAATCATGGTGATTGGCTAGAGAGAAAAATATGATAGGATAAAAATATTTTAATAAAAAAATTGTATTACACTGATTTAGAAAATGTCTTCTCGGATATTTTTGAAACAGATGTGAAGAATAGGAAAAACAAAACATTATCTGAAATGTTTACTTTGTGATTCAGTGCAATAGAATCTAGCTATGCCTTCATGTTGACAGTAAAATGCTGACAGCCCCCTGTAATGTGTCAATTTTAGATCACTCTGTTTGAGTTGAGAGAAATGTTTTATATCATGGATTTTATATTGAATACAAATTGTTTCTCAAAGATTTATAGCACACACTATTCTCAGGAATTATGTATTACATGAATGCTGCTTATATATTTTCATATTCTAACTTGTTGTCTTTTCAGGCAAACAACTAATATATATGTGCATGCAGTCTGCCTTGACAAGTTGTTCTAGGCCGAGGAGCTTTCCCAGTACAATGTGTGGAAATCACTCTAGCTCATAGCTACAATTGTTTGTGATTGTCTGCGTCTGTGCACGCACTTATAAAATACCAAGTGACTGCATGACGAGATACAGTTTCTGAATGCTGCACATTCTTCCAAAATGACTCTTAGCACAATCTATTGTACGATGGAATGAATAGGAAACTTTTTCACTCAATAAATTATCATTTGATATGGTATTTTTATATTCTGTGCATTAAATTTAATTCTGCGGGTTTCTGAAATATTAAACTGGGATTTGTTGAGCATGTATGGGGAGTCAGACTGCTCATTCTTTAACTCTAAGAGGCTAAACAGTTTCCTATTCTTGCAGATCCTTACCCTAGCTCTTAAAAGTTTTGACTACTTATCTTCTACTAAGATCATTGTTATCTCGAAGCATGTACACATTAAAGTGCAGAGGGGATACCACACTGATCTTAATAATGCTTTGTGCTAGAAACAGATGGGAGAGGAAGCTTGATTCCTTCTTGTGGGGATAATAATACTTCCTTCACACACTGGCACTGCTTTTTTTTCCCCACACTTTCGCCAGCTCTATCAATCACCATCAACATCTTGAGAGAGGAATTTTAGCACAGATGTAGTGTATGCCAAGGAGGGAAGACATATAGGGACACCATGGTCAACTGTTAACAGGAGGCTACCAACTTGCTCATTTCTTTTTTTCTTTTTTTTCACTTGATAGTGAAAATCTAGGTTGTCTGTGGAGTTGCTTAACTTACATGGCTGGACTGACTGATCTGTCAATTGGGGGCAGGTCCAGGGGGTGTGTGTGTGTGTGTGTGTGTGTGTGTGTGTGTGTGTGTGTGTGTGTTCACATACTCTGTGTCCTTGTCATCTTTTTGTATAAAAATCATAAAGCAGTTTCTATCTGTGAGATATGCCCAACTCAATCCCATTTTGATGATCAGGTGTTTCCACTTAATATCCACTCAAATCACATATCAGAAGAGGCTTTGGGGACAGTTCTAGGTTTTATTCGGGAAATCGGTGAACACCTTGTCTCATTCCTGGTATTCTTAGCAGTTCCGAAGTGAACCTTTTAGGAATGGTCTGAACAACCCAGTTTCTGACAGAAAGGCAAACATTTTTCCATAGGCATTTCTATTCAAAGCGAAATATGCCAACCATACATAGTCCACAGGAGAGATTAATAGGGTTTTTAACATGAATCATTGATCTGCCCAGGTTCCTGCTAGCTAGAATTGATATCTTTGCAATGGTGACAACACTAGTAGTACAGTCACTGCATCCTAAACACATTCACATTAGGACACCTTTTTCAGTAAAGTAAAATGAAATCAAACAAGTTAATTGAAAAGAGTCTCTCATTTAGGACCAGATCTGATCCCCAGTATCATCAAAGTCTACCCTCAAGGAGAAACCTATCAATCCAACCTACTGCTTTATGACCATATCAGGATGTGTGTCTGCACAATTCTCCCTGGAGAAATCCTCTTGTTCCACATGCAGCTGGCCTGAGGGGAAGTCTTGATTACACTAGATAGCCAGCTGTGTGGATGCTGCTTTCCATCTTTCCTTAAGAAGGAAGCGGATGGGATTTTCAGGCATAGACCTGCATTGACTTCCTCAGAATATTTTTTTAATCTTGATTCACTCACTGTGGAAAAAGTAATGTCTCTGCTCTTTTTGTGTTTTTGGGAAGCAAAACTTCCTAAATTATTCGTTGAAAAACAAAACTTTATGAAATCTATTGAGATACTCCCCACAAAATAATTGTCCCATAAGTGGCTAGCCCCATGTGGTACTCAAGCTGCCTGGATACTATTGCAATGATCTTGTCACTATATCTTGTGCAATTCATTGCTACCGGTGAACTCTTAAGGCCAAATTGAATATCTTCTCTAACAAGTAGTCTGATAGATTTTCCTGATGATTTTTACTTGGTGTGTTTTTCCTGATACCTTTTATTAAGTGAGGAAAGAGAGATTCAATGGGCAGAAAAATTTGATGGCAAAGATAATTGTAGAAACAATATTTTGAAGATGGTGGCGGCAGAACATCTGTTTTGCAGATGCTACTTCAATACCTGCTATGCACACACTCTACCACCTTTCTGACTAAAAAACAAACAGCAATTTGTCTTTTAACATAGAAAAAAAAAGGTTTTTCCTCTTTATTTTTCTTATTTATGTTAAAATTTATGAAGTTAATTCTAGTAAGCTTAGATTTTGGTGACAATTCTAACCAAAGAATAAACACCAAATTTTCAGAATAGAAGATGAAAATGCACTTATAATGATATACAGTTTTGTCCTCCTAAGATGTGTGTCTATTGGGCTCTATGTTGTATTTTTAAAGTAGGAAACAGGTATTAGAGTTCTATAGTTGAAAAAATAATTTGGGGATGTCCAGAAAAGACAGAGTGGATTTTCATTTTCATTCTCAATAGGAGAAATTATGTTACAATCATATATTTAGCCACATGATTATAAATATTGATTTTATTTTTATTTTTGCTGTCTACAATTCCTTTTCAAATATTAAATTGAAATATATATATATATATATATATATATATATGGAGAGAGAGAGAGAGAGAGAGAGTTAGTCATTAAACATTCCTTGCAAACTCTCAAGAAATTTTAAAGTCAACTTAAGGAAGTTTTGCTCTATTGAGTTAGAATGAATCAATTTTTTTTTTTTTTTTTTTTGAGTTGGAGTCTCACTCTGTCGCCCAAACTGGAGCGCAGTGGCTGCTCCCGGCCACCGCAGCCTCCACCTGCTGGGCTCCAGCGATCCTTCCAACTCAGCCTTCCGAGTAGCTGGAATTACAGGCATGCGCTACCATGCCCGGCTGATTTTTTGATTATTGTAGAGATGAGGTCTCGCTGCCCAGGCAGGTCTCTAACCCACGGGCTCATGCAATCCATTCACCTCAGCCTCCCAAAGGCACAGGATTACAGGCTGAGCCACCGAGCCCGGCTGACTGAATCAGTTTTTAAGGATGTGGCCTCTATGTCAGCATTCTTGAACGTAATGAACAGTAAAGATATAAAAACCTGTATAATGTCTATTCCAAATCAATCAATAATATTGCCTGATTGCTCAGTTGACTGCAAATGCAGCCTGAATGTATTAGATTGCTCATTTATTTTCTTACATGTCAGTTACATTAGGGCAATCAATAAACTACAAGAAATAATCTTAGCTTTGTAAATGTGTCAAAAGTAGTGCTATAATCTGGACTAGGTGTTCTGAACACCTGTGCACACACTTGTTTTAATATCTTAAGACACAAATGAATTGTTGTTTCTGGCAATTTCTGAGAACAAATAGATTAAGATCCCCCAAAGATATCATCATTACATATTACTTTTCTTGATTTATAGTGAGCTCTTTTATTAAGGTATAAAACTCCCTTGATATTTACGTGTGTATGTATGTGTGTGTGTGTGTGTGTGTGTGTGTGTGTGTGTGTGTGTGTGTCCTAAGTTCTGGATAGATCAAATTCTAAAAGTATTATCCAAAACATTAAAAAGAAAGTCATATTATAAACTATGGAAAACCTTATTTTGACATTCATTTACTGGGCCACTTGGTAGACCTGTTTTAATCTATAGGACTTAAATAAAGAATTTTAGGATAGATGACTATCTTCCATTCCACTTTTAACACTGTAAAAAATATTCATATTGATCAATCCAATGCACTTCAATTATAACTTATTTTTAAAAGAAATAATTTAAAAAGTTATATATCTTAATTATATATCTATATTAATATTAAAGGCATTTATCCTAATATTAACTATTTTTATAAACACAAAATGAAACTTAGATGTATTCTAGGGCTCTAAACAGTTGCATAAAATTTTGAAAATACAAAACCATCATGTTAAATGTTCTACTGATATACAGAAGTATCATTATCAATGAATATCTTCCTCTACAGGGTAAGATTATTTTTCTAATTTGTGATGAGAACCTGACACTCCAAATGAGATCCATGTTGTGATTAAGAAATAAAATATTTATTATCTTAACTCTTTGTCTTCTGATGATGGTTGATATTTCAAACACTAAAGTGCAGTATTGGAAAAATAGGTTTGTGAGTGTTTTTTATTCACATAGGTGTTTGCAAATCTTTATTGATTTGCTTAGATTGAGGTGGGAGAAGAAACAATAGTGTTAACTCTTTCCAAGAATAACAAATAAAAATTACCCATTTGTTTATTTAATATCAATGATGAGAAACATTTGATTAATATATAAATTATATCATTTTAGTATGTACCATTGACAATGTCAATTGTTTGAATATAGGTCATATTACAGGGTTGTAAATGCTGGATAAAGTGGTAAAGTCTATAGTAAACCCAGATAATTTACACTATTGAGAGTAAGCACATAAGGCTTTTTAATATATAAATATATATAGCTAAAATTGTAATATTTTAAACAATTTATTTCTAACAAAAAGGGAGACCTCTATTTTTCTTACTTCTAGTATTTGCAATAATGTTTAAGATTGCAATAGCATTAAAATATTTCAATAACATTCCTTCTAAATACTGTTTGAAAGCAACATAGACTGTAGTTTACATTTTATTTCTCTTTAGAATGAAACAATATAACCCCATAAAAATCACAAAATAATAAAATTCATATTCAGCAAATACCGCTTGAATTAAACAAAGGGAAAAGCCCCCTTCCCTTCTTTTGCTGTTTAGAGAACTACAGTTGCTTTGAACTGTGCATTGAGTCAGCAACTTGGGTTGAGATACTGTTTACTTATTAAGCTTTACGTGTACAAATGTAATACTTAATAAACTATAGGTATAACTATTGCATTTATCAGTAATAGATTTGTCTATCTTTATAACATAGATTTTGTTACAGTATTTTTTCTTCTTTTCTAAGAATTTGGTCCCACGCTTTGGGAGGCTGAGGTAAGTGGATTGCCTGAGCCCACGGGTTCGAGACCCGCCTGGGCAACTTGGCAAGACCTCATCTC